GCAATAAGAAACAAAAATATATACAAATATCACCGAGTTTCCTATGACTTCTGAGCATGGGCTTACCCTGAAAATAGGTGTTTCTATGTCATTCAGTGATCCCCATATATGTTGCTCAGTGCCAAAGATGTATTTTTGCCTCATAGGAATACACTTTGGATTATCTCAAAAGCCATCCCTTAGAGCCTTTCCAATAATAAGTTGAAAATATGGATTTATGGACATATTTATTACCTATTTTCAAAGACCACATTAAGTGATCACAATTTAACTTTATTTCTTTTATTCATTCGTTATGTAGTTTTCCATAAAATGTAGGACGTCTCAGCATAAAATAAGTTGCCTTGTATTTACGGCAATCATTTTCTATCACATTAAAAGGTGCTCTAGTTGACACAGCTGTTATTTGACTGCAGATGTTTGGGCTGTTGTCTACATGGTATTTAAAGAATCGCTGGCTGGACAGGTTTGAGGCAGAATCCTTTACTCTATAGCAAGTTCAAGGCCAGTCTGGACTACCTGAGACACTGTCTTAACTCCCCACCAGTTTCCTATCCATAACACATCATGTCAGCGGAAAAAATAAGGCAAACCCTTTTTATATATATAATTGCTTTTATTGAGTTCTCACTTTGTAGCTATTTCTTTAATGTTACTAAAGTGATTAGGTTTTATTTATAAATGATCACTAAAACATCTGACATTTCCCTAGAATGCATTAGTAACAATTGAGTTAATTAATTCACAATTATAGCACATTCTTTTCTTTGTTTTAACAATTTGGATAAGTCCATTACATTGAATAAATGTATTTTCTATTGATATTCCTGATTTGCCTAATATCATCCTTGATTATATGTATTGATATGTTTTATATTAATAGGTATATACTTCCATACAATTCAACCAAAAAGCAATTAAAAATAGGGATAAATGGTTTAGCAGCCACATAAATATTTTCCAAGCACCCTCCAAAGAGTGGTACTCAGCAACTGGCTTTTTCTCTATATATCCACATTGTGATAGTGCCTTAAAGTATCATCTAAAACATTTGTGTTTTGTTTATGGTCCATTGAGAAAATAAACTCTCCCTGGAATACGTGTACGCTGGCATAATGTCATTGAGAGAAGTGAGCCATCATAATGTGTATTTAATAAATTGCTATTATAAGATAGAACTATAGCTATTTTAAATGGTAATTTTTTTATAATAACACTAAGAAATAAAAATGCGTGACCACAAACATCTGTATTTAAGGTTTTTTTTCCCCCCTGCCCAAATATACTGAAATCTCAGGAGAATGCCAGAGAAGTAAATAGTAAGCTTCCTGAAGTGGTGGTTGGAAAGATCGATGAAGGAGAGACCCTGGCTGAGCCGGTTACTAGATACCAACAATAACAGCTGAACAGTAAGGAGCTGCCCATGAATAGAAACCATCATTATCTAAGAGAAAAGAGCCTAGGTGGTGAAAACAAGCCTGAAGCACTGTCCTCTTAGCTGAGATTTCCCTTTGTACGATCTCAGTTATCAGAAGTCAGTCATGACTATACAGTTCCAGAAACCAACAGTTCACAAGCTTTAAATTACATGCCATGGAAAGCAGCTTAACAAAACATTACACAACCTAGATCGAGCCTGCCCGGAAGGTGAAATACCTTGCTGTATCCGTCCTGTGTGGACTACCCACTTATCAATCACTTGGTAGCCTTCTTGGAGGAGGCATTTCTGTTAATAACCTTCAAGTAATAACGCATTTTGCTTTATAAGTGCACCAAACTACAAAAATAGACTGCTAACTCACATATGCCAAAGAGAAGTCCTAAACTGTGTCTTATAAGCGAAAAGAAGAGTGTCAGTGGTTAAGTCTGTAAGGTACAGGGGTAAGGCATAGTGTCTGTGTGTCTCAGTACACTTTAGTCTCACGTATGTATTAGGGGTCTTGGAGGGTGCACGGGAGAGCAATAAGGGGTCAGTCTGTGCTTTGGAACTGACTGCCTTGCTGACTGCACCATGTCTCATTGTGGAGTTTTGTTCAGAAAACATACAGTAACTTTATGTACCTATGCATCTTGAAGTGACACAAACAAAAACAGAAGGATACCCTCGCTGTTTATTAACATGGCAATACGTGCTCCATGATTATGAATGCTTAAGGCATGATTCGTACACTTGAGTGGTGTGTCAGGATATAATGCCCTGAGTCTTATGAATTCCATAATGGGAGTTTCTTAAGAAGTAAGGGAACAGCTGAAGGTGGCTGAACATTTTGGGAGTTGGAAAGAGATCAGAGCACCCGTTGAAAGAGGCAGAACCATTTTTATAATACAGAAAGACAATGTCAGTCTTCAGAAATACATTAGAAACCCACCTGGGCCTCAGATTTTTGAATCTCACACACGTGGACAAAAGCCTTATAAATTTATGAAACCACAGTTCAGTTGGCTTATGTCCTGGGATTCTGTTAAGGAGAGATTTGAGATCTATCTAGTCAGTAGCTTGGAAGAATAGAATTTATGTTGTAATCTTCATTCAAACAGCATGAGAGTTCCTAACTATGTCTCTGTACATTTTAAGTCTTCTGAAATTATCTTCTTGTCATGTGAGTCTGAAAATAGTCCAAAACTATTAATTCTGTATGCCTGAAATTGATTAGATCTCAGATAATAATTACAAGTAATATAAGATACCTACTACATAACAGCATATATCAAATAAGCAGGAATGTTCACCAAGCTTTGCTGGGACAGAGAATAAACAAACAAGTCTCATAGTAACTATAGCCTATATAATATATATATGCAATTTACTTTTTCCCTGGTAAATATAACCAAAAATGATACTTGTGAGCACTGTTTCTAGCCACATTAAAAATGCTGCCCTAGGACTGAAGATCTGGTTCAGCAGATAGAGAACTCTGCTCTTTCAGAAGACCCAGGTTCAGTTCTCAGCACTCATTATGTTGCAGCTCACAACCAGCTGTGGCTTTCTTGGGCATCAGCATACATGCACACACAGAGATATACACAAATAAAAATAAATCTTAAAAATATTTCTCCAATGCACAGATAAAGAGAGAGAGAGAGAATTACCATATTCCTTACAAGCCAAGCCCATGGGGGTGATGTCTACTTCAACTTACTTCAAGTCTCAGGAAAGACATCCAAAAAGCCACCAGGAAAGTCTGAAACTTTTTAAAAATATAAAATTACATTGCTTTGCTTTAAATTTGATAGCCCACCTCTTGATTTTCCACTTTCATGTACTTTGGGCTTTGGGATCCCTATTTTTCTCCATGAATCTTAAGGTTAACTTTTTTTTCCATAAAAGTCTAGTAACAAATTTTATTGTAAACAGTATGTATGTGTATATATACACCTGGTCAGTCTGTGTAGTTTTATGTGCAAGGATGTTTTCAGAGCTGGCCATTTGCTATTGGATAACCAGTTGGTGTGCTCTGGGGAAGACTATTCCACTCTTCCTTCCTGTAGCTCAGATTCTTCTCTCCACCTTTACACCGACTTCTCTTCTACTTCCTTCACAAAGCCACTCTGTCACTCACCACTGTTCCCTTTGGATTACGAGAAATCCGTTTTGCTACTCAGTTTTTGTATCCTCACCTGAATAGACATAAGTAAATGTGCTTTTCCGAGGGACTTTTACAATGATAAAACTTGCTGCTTGTGTGAGCCTGGTTCCTGCACAGAGGGGTATCATCGAGGTGAAACATGCTCCTTTGGCCATTTAGAAGGCAGGTCTTAACTGACAAACATGGGACACAGAAGAGTGACAGGACTGAAACAGGAAACAGACGTCATCAAGTGAAAGGAGAAACTTCATTTTGTGCTATTTGTGATGAATCATAATACTCAAAATAATGAAGCCCGTCATCTCCAGTCAGTCAGCATATGCATTGTAGTCTTAGCTGGTGGAGGAGAGTTTCCATGTACTGAACTTCTTCATCTACTTCAAACAGAGCACAGCTCCCCATATATGCCAGGCATTAAAAGGGTTGGAGTGAAATACAATTCTGAAATTGGTGACTACTTCAAATGCATTGACTAAAATTGCTTGAAATTGCTATCTAGGTAATTTCAAAATGCAAATGAGCATAGAAGCACATATACAAAAGAAATTAAATTATATATAAATATAAAACTGGAGATATATGCAAATACAAAAAAGATGATATGCTAACAGGTATACAGTAAAGTGAATTTCCAATTTCAGTTGATAGAAAACAAAAAAAACCACAATATTTTCATTATTTTCGGTAGCCAATCTTCTAGGAACTGATTATGATGAATAAGGAATCTTTGGTGGGTGTGTAACTAATATTTATGGTGAAATATTGACTTGTGTGTGCTTACATAGGTTATGTGATCTTACCTACGCCTCCCTGTCTCTGAAGTGTCAATACTATTTGCCTTCTCAGCCACCTCCTCTGCAAAGATGCTCTGTAAATAAATGAGGTAATGCCTGGGAAATCTTTGCAGCTTGGGATAGAACACACACATATAAGACACGCTTGCTGTTTCATATTCAAGCCTGGCGTGTCCTGGCCTCTATTTTAAATGGAAATTGCATTGTTTGACTCCGTGGGTTTGGATCAAAATCTGGGTCAATATAAAAGGACCGTTATTTTTAATTTTAATACCGACGCTGTTTCAAAATCCTGCACGTGAGGGTAGAAAACTGTAGGAAATAAACAAAGCACATAAATCAAGCTTTGAAAGAAAAAAAAAATCTTCATCTTTAAGGATTTTCTCTCTCTCTCTCTCTCTCTCTCTCTCTCTCTCTCTCTCTTTCTCTCTCTCTCTTTTTCAATGAGGAGTGTAAACACTGTATTTCCCAGGAGAAATATTTGGGTCCAGAGATGAGGCTAGTGCCACACAGTGTGAGTGCGTGCACGCGCGGGGGTGTGCACGCGTGTGTGTGTGTGTGTGTGTGTGTGTGTGTGTGTGTGTGATGTGCGTGCGCGTCCGTGGAGAGGGGCGGGGGAGGCGGATGAGGAGGATGAGATCATAGCTTCAGGATCCTCAGGAAACCCTGGTACAGGCAGCAGCCAGCCTCCTCCGTGCCCACATGACCCACAACTCTGGCAGCGGACCCGGCACTTCCAACATCACTAAATAATCAGAGACCGGCTCCCACTCGGGGCCCACACCTCCCTGCGGACGATGGACACCTTCTAAGAGTTTGGCGAGTGGGTAACCCAGGCGCCCGTCCACCGGCAAGGTGTGTGTGCACGTTGACTGCTCCCTTGACGGCTCCGGGTGGGGGGAGAGCTCGGGGGTTCAGGGGGTCGGGGTGCGCGGCTAGGAGCGGGCGCGGGGACTGGGCTGTGGCGCTGTCCCTCCCCGGGAGCCGCGGAGCCCTGGAGGCGCCAGGACGCGCGGCCGCCTCTGCGCAGGGACCCGGGCGCCCTGGCAAGGGCAGGTGCCGGGCGAAGTCTGGAGCCGCGGAGGTGGCGAAGGGCTGCGCCCCGGCGCCCACTCGCGGGGTTCCCACCTGTGCGCCCGCGCCCGGCGTGTGCGGGGTACCCGGACTGCGGCGGCGCCTCCCCGGGCGGCGGGGCGGCGCCTTGGGCCCGCGGGGCGGCGGCGGCTGCGGTGGGATGCGCGTGGCAGGTGGATTCCCCCCCTACGCCGCCGCAGCCCACCCGGAGCCAGGGCTGCCCGCGGCTCCCCGCGCCGGCTCCGCGGGATGAGCTGTTCCGTCGGGATGTGCCCTCGGGGTCGCTGTCGTCCGTGGGCTGAGACGCGGGGAGGCGGCGTGGCCAGCCCCTGCCGGGGACAGCGCTGGGGCTGGGGAAGTCTGGCTGAGGGGGTGGGGGAGGCCGGGGTTGACCGGGAAACCCGCGAGCCGCCGGTCTTTCCCGCGGCGCCGTGGGGCGGGCTTTGCAGTGCGGCGCGAGGCCGCGCGGAGCGCTAGGCACGAGTGGGCAGTGGGGGCTGCGGGGCTCCCCGCCTGCCTCCAGCCTTGTTAGCCTGTTGCCCACTTTGGAGTTCTGGGCTGGACAGAGGGCTGCTGGGAGGTTCGTTCTGGTACCCAAAGTGGGAGACAGAGACAGGACTCTCTTGAGTGCCCAAAGCCAAACAGAGGAGACAGGCTGGCAAAGGCATGCTGGGATGCAGAGAGATCATTAGAGCTTGACCTTATAATTCTGCTCTTGGATGGCCTTGGGTCTTGGTGGTTTGGGGAAGATCAGGGTGGAACTTGTGGCCTGGGGCGGGATGTTCGCTAGCAATAGATGATAGAGACCAATGGGTGCGTTCTTGCTTCCTAAACAGAGCTTTTGAGTTGAGTCTTACATTACAAGCCCTCTTTTTTTCTTCTCATCACTACTAGTGCTCACTGTGGTTTTGTGTCTTTTTTACATAAGTGCCTATATTTTTGCAGTATATATGTAGTATGTGAAGTTGATATTATTATTGCTATTGTGATTATTTTATACTTCGCTTATTTCCGTGTCTTCACGTAAACAGCTTGGTCTTATTCAGTTTATCACTTTTCTTAGTTCCTCCACTGGCATAAGAGGTAGGCTATATTATAGCAGTCTTTTTTGTTTTTGTTTTTGTTTCCACAAAGGATATAGAGGCAAAATAGGTGTCCCGGCTTTGGGGGAAATGCTCAGTGATCGAAAACTTCCTGAAGATGGACCCCTTCCTTGGCTACATTCAGGATAACTGATTCTTTTAACTATTTTTACTGCCATGATTACAGCAAATATCCACTGGATAGTTTACTTTTGACACAGTTCACCAAGTTTTGTAGAATTGTTATAGATCAATGCAGAATGTTAACAACAAGATTGAAATTCAGCAATTAATTAATATCTATCGGTGACATAACTCATCAAGTAGGTGGCTCAAGCGATGTGTTTACAATTAACGGCAAGCCTCCTGAGCCACCAGTCTATTTGTTTAAAGAATAGATTTTCTATACTTGATTTTCTTGTTCATGATTTTCTTCAGAATGCCATTTTCATTTTGCAGAATTTTTAATAAGTTTCATTATCTTTAATGCAATCAATCTGACAGGGGTTTGGGCAGCCAAGTAAAAGGCTTATGCAATTCTCTTTCAAGTGCCACTGATAAAAGGACATGCTGTATTCTGAGGGCATTTATGGGTATCCTGTCTTTTAACCAGTTGTCTGTACTGTCTACATAATTATGTAGAAATGAAGACCAAAACCAAGTTTTATCATTAGTTCTAAATCTACATACTTTTAAGCATGTCCACTTGCTTGGAATGAACCATGATGAAAAGAAAGGTCTCTGTGGGCTCAACTCCTCTTCACGTGCTCAGAGGATAATTCTTCATTTGAGCTTATCACACAGGTTTTTATAAGATACACTTTGGGGGACAGATGTCTCTTGTAAGTCTTCATCTGTTACTTTAAAAGTAAATTTAATTGCTTCTTCACATAACAAGTTTCTAACTTATTTTGACATTCATGGATTGCCTTTCATTCTTGCCTTCCACTTGAATTAAATTCAGTTTGCATAATTTTAAACTCACACTTTCAAAATTTATAAGGAAAAGAGCCTAAAAGCCAACTGAATTCTATGATCATGAAAACAAGACTTGTAGACGTGAGATCCAGCCCAGCTCTCTGCTGGCTGGCACTCCTGTCCCGGCACAGCCCTGGATTGTGTCGACAGGTTTATTTGTGAACACTAGCACCTAACATTGTGGTCAGAGCACTGCATGCCACCAGGAACAAATGTTCTGATGTTGAACTCGAAGTTTCTTTTTTTAAACATTTTTTCTCATTTTATGAAAATATTTTTTTTCTCGCAAAATACATCCTGATTATGGTTTCCCTCCCACTCCTCCAAGTTTCTCTCCACCTCCCTTTCCATCCTTATCTACCCTCTTTCTGTTTCTCATTAGAAAGCAAACACGCTTCAAAGATATAGCAATAAAATATAGTAAGGGAAAAAAGCTAACACATCAGACTGGACAAAGCAAACAAACAGTTGGGAAAGAGCTCAAGAAAAGGCACGAAAAACGATGCAGAACTCTTTGTTGTTGACACAGGAGGTATCCCATAAAAACGCTAAACAAGAAGTCATAATATGTGCACAAAGGACCTGTAAGGTAAAAGAAAAGCAAAGTAAAATAAAATTAAATTAAATGTAAATGAAAAATAATTTTTAAAACAGTCCTGACATGATAGTATGAGATCTTCAAAATCTTTATATAAAATGTTGATTGTTTTGAAGGCACAAAGTCCCCTGATGCATATCAGTGTCTTTTTATAACTGATTCAAAATGTTCCAGTTTTCTGGCTTCTGATACTTATTTTAGAGATGCATTCTCCTGCTACTTTCATCTAAGGTTGGGCTCTGACCTGGCTCCCATTCAATGTCCCACCCCTCTGATTTGTATTACCTGTGGTGGGGAGGGGAGTGCACTCTGTGCCAGGCGCTGGCAGGGGGCAGGGAGTGGGCACTGAACCACTGAACATTGGGAGAAACGGGTTGGTGTGTGAGCGCTGGTCCATCAGAGGAGCAGCTTTTGAAAAGCCACTGGGGGGAAAAATAAAGGATCTTGTTAAATAAATGCTTTTCTTCAAGTTGAGGTGCTTGCTGAGTTACAGTGTGTGTTCGAGGATTCCTGGATAGGTCCTGGAAGTCAAAATAGGACCCAGGAATAGATGTAAAGTGACAGTATTTGTAGAGAAGTGGTGTGCCAAGTGTTGATCAAGTCCAGTTTTCTTCCGCAGTTGCTTGCAGAGCAACTTTCTGAATCATTTTCTGAATCAGAGACATGAGTTTTCCTCTGGTTGTCATTTAACCTTTCCTTTCATTCTCTCCTGTGGAAATGGGGAGGGACTGCAGAACTCCTATTACTTTTCAAAGCACATGGAGAAATTGCTGCCCTTACTTGTTTATTTCAACATTCCCCAAAATCTATGTAGGTTTAATCAACAGCAGAAACAACTGCTCTCAAAATAAATGGTGGTTTTATTTATTTATTTATTTATTTATTTATTTATTTATTTATTTATTTGGTTGTGGTTAAGGTCACAAAATGTCTCAAATAGAATTTTAATTGATTCATCACTTAGTTCCTAAGATTTGCTGAAATGCCCAAGGGCAGTATGGAGGTTTCAGAGTCAGAGAGAGAAAGAGAGAGAGAATATGCAACTGTGTGTTAAAGCAGCAATACTGCCAACATTTATTGAACATTTTCTATGAGACGAATATCATCCTACAGGCTCTGTGTAAACTAATTGATGCTCACTTCACAGAATAGCCGTCTAATGTTTGGATCTATGGTAAGGATCTGTCTTCCTCCATTTAAAGAGAAGGCTGAAGCGTAAGAACAATAGTCATGACTACAGTCAAAGAGTTAGTCATAAGCTGTACCTTTACATTTGAGTATTGAGGTTCCAGGGTAAATTTCCATTAGTATTGAGAAACATGACTCCTCTGAATTTGTTCTTCTATTTTCTTTAATAAAATTGGATGGAAAAAAAAATCCCAATGCTTTTTATGTCAGCTCATTTTGCCCCATATTTTACCATATAAATATGCACATATTTTATATTAATATATTATCTAATATTATTAATAATTAGTAATGTTAAATATTATTTAGCAATATTTAATGTGAAATAAGTACAAATATATAATATACATTATATATAATATACATTATATATATATATGTGTGTGTGTGTGTGTGTGTGTGTGTGTGCGTGTGTGTGTGCGTAAATACCTGGAAAAGGAGTAATGAGTGGTAGATTGTGAAAAACTTCCCATTTTATATTCTGTATATGTTTAAATTTAAAACATGACCACTTGAGTTCTGGAAACACTGATATTCTCAAAGTTAAAAGTACGACATTTTGCATTTCAAATTTTTCAAGAAAAACTTAACAATAGCTAGAGCCTCTATGACTGAGAGTAAACTCAGACTTTGCAATCACCTGTACCATTTTCCCCAATGTCTGTCTGACTGAGTACTGCAGACTATAGAGTACAATGTAAAATTCCCATTAAATTATTTTGATACAATGAAAATGATCTTGTTAATTTTACACTGATATTTTTTGACATAAATCAATATAATTGTTGTGGTAAGAAAGTAGAGAAAACTCTGAATAAGATTAACCTAATTCTGTGGAACATATCATTAACAAAAAGAAATGATAATTGGCTAAACATGGCAATGCAATCAAAGTTCTTTGCTTGGCTCTAATGATAAATTTACTGAATGTTGCT